TTTTGGCTTTGTTCTACTTTTTGTTTCGTCTTTATTTATGGTTGGTACTTACTAGTACCTTTTTTTTTTTTTACTTTCTTTTTTTTTTTTTTTTTTTGTCGCGTGGTGGTGTATTATATTTGTTGTAATGACTTGGCATAAAATAGAGTGGTGGGTTACAGCTTCAATAAGCTATAAGTTATGTTTTTTTTTCTTTTTTTTTGTTTATTAAAGTATTTGAAGTTTTGTAAATAGTTTTATTATTCAAGCTAACTCCAACTTGCTTTTTAAAGTTACGGTTATGGAAGTTTCATAGTACACACGTACATATATATGTTTAAAGAAATTTTCAGTCTACAAGAGCTTTTCATATTACGTTTTACAGGATTTTTCACATTACATCTCACGGAATTTTTGTATTACGTCTTACGGCATTTTTTCTTTTTACGTTTTAGGTATTCTTCACATTATGTCTCGTGATATTTTTCGCATTACGTCTTATAGTATTTTTTGTATTACTTCTCGTGATATTTTTCACATTATGTTTCACAGTATTTTTCACACTACATCTCGCAGTATTTTTCGCATTATGTCTCACAGTATTTTTCACATCATATTTCACAGTATTTTTTGCATTATGTTTCGTGGTATTTTTTACACTACATCTCACAGTATTTTTGCACTACTCTCACAATATTTTTCGCACTATGTCTCACAGTATTTTCGCACTATGTCTCACAGTATTTTTCGCACTATATCTCACAGTATTTTTCACACTACGTCTCATGATATTTTTCGCACTATGTCTCATGGTATTTTTTGCACTACATCTTATAGCATTTTTTGTACTACGTCTTATGGTATTTTTCACACTATGTCTCATGGTATTTTTCGTACTATGTTTCATGATATTTTTCGCACTACATCTTACAGTATTTTCGCACAGGATTTTTTATTTTACGTCTTATAAGATTTTATATTATGTTTTATAGTATGTTTTATAGTATTTTTTATATTATGTTGTATATTATTTTTTAGATTAGGTTTTATATTATTTTTTGATTAGATTTTATATTATTTTTAAATTAGGTTTTATATTATTTTTATATTAGGTTTTGTATTATTTTTATATTAGGTTTTGTATTATTTTTTATATAGGTTTTGTAATATGTTACACAAACTGTTATAATACGTAATATGCATATTATTTATGTGATACAAAAAAAAGGTCACCATTTCGTTTTGATCAGATTTCGTTATGATCCGTAACAGTAACTGACAAGAAATAGAAGTTAGTAACAAAACAAAAAACAATACTCACCAAAAAGACTATTTCACCGAAAGCAAAAAGCTAAAAATGCGACATCTGAAAAGATATAATGTGTATTAGTACATCCAAAAAAATAAAATGATCTATATGATCACCAATCTTTAATATGATTAGCTGATCATCTAGGGTTGCTATAACAACAGGTTGCTATTTATAATTTTTCTAACTTGATTTACTAAACCAATTTAAATAATTAATTACCAAAATAATCTTTTTAATGAAAGGATTCTAACAAGTCTAAAATCACAAAAATCTAATTATTAAATTCTAAGATAATATTAGATTTGTATTATATTTTATATATAAGTGTTTGATTAATAAAATATTTAAATTTTGTTAAATAAAATTGTTCAATAAAAAGCTAACAAAATATTTAAATTTTGTTAAAAATAAAATTGTTCGAAAATTTGCATATTTCTAATAAGAAATATTTTTTTAATATGTTATATTAAATTTCGGTAATACAACTATTTGTTATTCAAATAAAACAAATAGTTGTTGCAGTGCCTATGCCATCACCATAACCCATCGGTAGATTGAGTAGTTCATAAGCAGAATTCAAATATACAACACTACAATGGCTACACAACATCACTACTTTACTACAATAGGTAATTGTCAAATTTTTAAAATTTTTCTATTTAAAATAATTCTAGCTTCTTGTAAAGTGTCTAATTAGAGCATAAGATTTCATATGATTAAGTTAATACAATGCAGAGGTTAAGTATAATATTGATCATTAAGTTTAGTAAAGTTTGTAAAAAATTGAGATAATTCAACATCTACACAATAATAATATCTATATTAACATAGTGCACACTTATTGAAAACAACACAAATGAGAAAAATCTCTACATAGATGTCTAGAAGGGTAAATTAAATTAATAATAAGAATAAGAATAATAGTAATAATAATATTAATAATAAAATGTTTATGATTATAGAAAAGAAAGGGTAAAAATTGATAAGAATAATATAATATAAAGGGTAATAGTAATAATTATAATTATTATTATAACTAATTATTAGGAAAAATGTATAGATTAAATATTTAAAAGAAGAAAAGGGAAGGTTAGAAAAGAAAGTTAAGATGATGAAAGATCATAAAGATCGATGGAGACAAAAGTGTCAAGAAAGTAAAAATATATCATCAGATATGTTTGAGAGGTTGATGAGAGAAAGAAGAGAAGAAGAGAGATCATTTGTAAGTAAGAAAGGTGATAAGTGGAAGAAGAAGTATGAATGAGTAAAAGATGAAGAGTGGTTAAAGAAGAAAGAAAAAGAACCAGTTGATCAAAGGTGGTATTGAGGTATTCATTTGAAAAAACAAATTACAAAGTTGAAGAAAAAAAAAAAAGTTTTAGAAGAAGAGTTAAAAAAGGAGATAGAAGAAGATAATTTGTTTTGCCAAAGAAGAAAAAATGATTGAATGAAGGAGAAGAATATTTTTGGAAAAGGAGAAGTTGATTTTGGAAAAGAAAAAGAGATTTT